TCATTTGAAACAGCTCCCTTTCCAGGGAGCCTGGCACACACAACAGCCAGCATAACGGCCAGCCTGGCTTCAGTGAGAACACACATGAATATTAGTGTGCAGCAGAAGATGAGCTGAAAGATATAAAAGTTTTGACGCTGTGGTATCAATGAAGAGGTGCATCATTAACTGCATCATGAAATATTTCATGCTTGCTTTTATGAGATTATAAATCCGTTTCACTAAAGTGTCAAATTACAACAGAAAGGGGAACGGGTCTGACTGAGACGTTCCGATTTTACAAGCCAAAGACGTGAAGGGAGCAGCTTACCTGCTTGTGCTTGTGTGGTACAGAGGGAAGTCGCAGAGAAATACTTTTACAAATTATACTGGAGGCAATTACAAAAACAGGACAAGGAGGGTATATCCCGCAATGTGCACAACAGAACACAGCTTGTGTTAAAATGAAACGTTGTTTGATCTAGGGTCGTGCAGATATGGCACAATACCATTGGTTGCCCGACAACCAATTACTCAATCGTGCTAATCCAGCACAAAGCCCATTTAAATACGGGTAGAAATAGGATTTTTCCGAGTTTGAAACTAGAACCCAATGGCTCCTGGTAAGGAAATCACACAGTTGTAGAAAAATAACAGATCATAGCCCCCCAGTTTTATACACAAGGTCCAGCAGACGACGGCTGATGAAACTGATCTGTTGACAGGACTGTGGGTGAAGGAGTAAAAATCCAAACTATCCAATAGTGATAAAGTTCAGTAAATCCTCCATCTGATGGATAACAATCCAGTAGAGATCTTGCTACACGTACAGACTAATGTTTCCGAAATAACCACAGGGGATCAGTGGTAAAGTGAGTAGTAATTTATTATTACAATTTTATGTAGTGCTTTTAAAAGCAGCTACTCAAAGCACTTGCTGTAAGACACCAATTAAACAAAAAGCCATTCTGAAGATTTCTTTAAGTCTGAATCAGAATATGCTCCCAGACACCAACTCTTTGTTATCCTTTGGGTAGAATTCCAGAGCTTTGGGGCACAGCAAGAGAACTGTCACCCACGGAGCGTACACAAGCTTGGATACTCCCATTAGGAAACCTCTGCTCCAAAGAGACCAGCAGAATAAAAACGAAACATCAGGCGACAGAAATGAAATAGTGGGTTGATCAAACCTGAAGAGAGTGGAGACGAGTCTGAGTTTGAGCTGTTTGTCAGGAATCAACAACAGTTTGTTCAATGGTGGGCTGAAGAGCCGCCGCGTGCATCAGTGTACAATAAGTTGTAGTAAAACATGGTGGTGGATCAAGTGTGAAGCTGTATCTCAGCAACGGGTGACAAGGATTGGCAAAAAAAAAAAAGTCAAAGACACCTTAACAACCAACAGATACAAACTTTGAGCATTCATTAAGTGATATGGTTGCCGGGGTACATCTTACTACAATGACCCCACACATCCAGCCGATGGAGCAAAAGCCAAATGGAATATGAAGAGGCTGATGGAAGACTCATAAGGCTGCCAAGGCCTTCCTGATCTCATCGCAGTCTTATGCAGTTGCCTGTGTGCTGACAAAGTCAAACAGCAACCATAGCACATGGATGGACTGTGCAAAGTGTTAAAAGTCACAATTCTTCAATGGATTGAAAAAATGCCAAACTATATAAAGGGCTCATATACCATGTTGTGAACAACACTTATCGCAGATTTTTATAAGTCTCCCCAATTTAATACCCACTTTATAATGCACTTTAAAATTGTTTTCAAAGTTCAACATTGTTTGCAATTTTTGTCTCTTCTTTGCGATAATGATCCTCTTTTGTTGCCATCTTGAAGAAATTCTCCAGGAGTTCAAAAAACCCTTCAGCTTTAGGTTCAAAGAAAGCATTAAATATGTTGAAATAAATTGGGCTTTTGAAAATTTTAAATAAAATGTACAGTTTTAACTTCTAAAACTTAAGCAGAATATAGTCATTTCATATTGTGTTCTTCTAACATGTAAATGAATTTAAAACATGGTCTATCAGTGTTCTAAAATCTAGGAACCCAATCCTTCCTTGTATACAGTATCCCATAGTCAAATATATAGTACCTCAGCCAAAATAGTTAAAATGTAAAATGAAACTAAAGTGTAAAGTGCACCCAATGACCAATTGTAAGGCTTTGTTCAAAGTAGTTTATTCTGTATTTTTTCACATCCTTAAAATGAATTGCAAATATATATTAACAGAAAGACTTTTGTTTCCCTAAGACTGTACAATTCCAAAATAAGAAAAAAGACACCAGTTACACTTGTAAAATGCAAAAACAAAACGTTGTATGCAAAACTCATTCTGCGGAATTCAATTTAAAACAAGTATTTTCTTAGAAGCAGACTCCATCGCCATACACGTCCACCATATTCCAGTCACTTATGCCTGACATTGACCTGAAAAATGCAGTTTAAATACTGTTTTTTTTAAAAGAAGAATTCATGTCTGATTTAAAACAAAAAAAACAGCAGCACAATTTTGGAACGGCTTGAAGCAAGAGATGGACAATTGTATTAACATAAAGGAATAATGAAAGCTGTAATAGTATCCTTTTTCACACTAGTCATTAGTAATAGTAATATTTCAAACCTGTCTTCTATAAAAAAATATGTATAACAAGGATTACTTGAAGGTTTGGCATATTTAATTCATAATAAAGTTTAAGTGTCTTAAGTGTGCTGAATGCTAGTTCTTACATTACTTTATCGCATTATAAATGCCCACTTCATCTTACACAAGCAAACAGAAAAACATGAAAGCAATATTCTTCCCATATTAACATGCAGCACTTCTTCCAAATCTCTTCACAGAACCTCTTGAGCATTAGCATCTGGAGGTCTGCGGTCTGCACAGACTGGGCGTCTGCTTAGCATGACTCGCCACACCTCAAAACAAGATGACCAATGAACAATCCCAGTGGGTCTCCAGCCAACTTTGGCAAAGTCAATGGAATTAGGACTCCGACATGTAAAAACTAGAACTTATGTGACTCTACCTTTCCCCATCAAACTTCCCAATGTTTTTGTAACAGTTACAGCAAATACGTACTTTAACTCATCTTAGATTTCAGACTCACTTCTAAATGTATGGGACGCTGCATATGCAGGTATCATTCAGCAGGCATGAAGGTTAGCATAGAGAAATGTACATTTAAATGACACGTTTCTGGAACAATTTTTCAATTACTTTTTCTTACTATACTGTGATTGTGATTTTAAAAATACCTCAGTGATACAATTAAACACTGGCTTTTCCAACAAAATTTCATCTCGACAAGAAAACGTTTGTACACAACACAAGCATACAATGTTAACTAACAACTGGGCTATCACATACAAAAAAGGATACTATTGACAACATTAAAAGCAAACGGGAACTAGTGACTGAAATATTTTGGATGACAGTTAATTCAAGTGCCTCTGATTAAACAGTTATAAAAAAAGACAAGTGTCCCATGGATGGAAATGGTGGTTAAAAATGGCAAGACTGTTGAAGCCTTTCAAATGGATAGCATTTGCCCCAGCTAATTTACTAGCCCTTGCTGGCATATCAATTTTTAGAAAAGGGAGGTTGGGAAATACTTCAGAATTGATCTGTTATTTCTTTAAAAAACGTGCTGTCATTTAAGCCACTCAAATGCAGGGCTTGCTTCACCAGTCAGTTTATCTCTCCTTACTCATGCCATCCTTACACCCTGGAGCCACAGTGATGCCACTACAAGCTACGATGGTTCAGCTTCAATTACCCCCCTCTGTTGCAGCAACAGAAAACCTGCACCACGATACCGACCTCCAGACCAACAATCTGAACCCATTTAAAATACCATAATTGCCATTCAAGAGAATACTCACTATCTTGGGTTCCTATTTTAGATACATCTTATCATGATATTAACATATGTAATAATAGTAATAAAAAGCAGAAATACGACAACTAAAATGTTTAGTTAATGGCTTTCAATTTATGAGGGCAAGGTTCCAAACAGTAGGGTGCAAAGTTGCACTTCCTATACCATAATGCTGCCTTGGAAGGTACAACGCTTACATGGAAGTCCAAAGGTGTATCCTTTCTCATCAGATGGAGTTTTGAGCCTTTTTCATGAAATGGTACTTGTTTTCAGGGTGAAAACAGAATGGGTTTTAGCTGCATGATGAGGTCAATGAACACTAAGGCAAAAGGGGGGAGGGAAGCAGATGGCAGAAAGGTAAGGAGGTACTGTATTAGCAGCAGTTTGTTTTTCACAACTGAAATCAAGCGGCTGACTCCAGATTGGCATTCTTAGAGTTAAAAGACCTCGTCGCTCTCCGCTGTGTGCAGCTGTGTGTCATCTGCGTCTGTCATACTGCTTTCCTGCGACTCTTCAGCCTCGGCTGTAAAGATATAAAAATTAGAAACCAGAAAGGATTCTGTATATAAAAGGTGAATGTTTATGCAGCGATGTCTGTCAGTTTCTTCTCGCAAGAAGCTGTGCTAATTTGTGGAATTGCCATGGTTTTTCCCCAACATACATAGCAAATGTCAATAACAATAGGTTTATTCCATGCTGAAAAGAGAAGAAAAAAAACGCAATGTTTCGTCCATGGAGCCTTCTTCAGGTGTGACTGGGAACACCCCACTTGAAGAAGGTTCCACAGCCGAAACTTTGTGTTTTCTTTCTTCTCTTTTCAGCCTGGAATAAACCTATTACTTGTTCCTTTGCAGCCTACCCATGCTGACGCAGCTGAACTAAATGTCAATAACTACCGTCTTATCTCTATTTTTTGGTATCATGAAAACAAATTATTCACAAATCTGCAACTCAAGTCGAGAAATAAGATGGGTTAATCACAACGGCACAATTACATCCAGGAAAAACAGTAATAGGTTTAGAAGTGCTTACCTGAATCGTAAGGAAAATCTTCTGGAACCGGTTCCTCATCATCGGGCAGGTAACGTTTATCAATGGCCTCTTTGATTTGATTGTTTGCCCCTTTGGGATCCAAGTCCATGGCCCAAGAAAAATTCATCAGAGCTAAATGTGTCTGACCCAGTTTCTTATACACCTGGCAACATACAAAAGTACAAAAATCTCAAATGACTGTCGTCCGCAGTTACACCGAGGTAACGAGACCTGCCTGCTTTAGTGAAATGTTGTATTGTAGCAGCAGGAGTGGACAAAGTTTCCATTCCAATTTGAGACCCATTTCGCTTTATTTGCCAACTTGAGCAAGTTGTCAAATGTTCTGCAGCTCCTAAACCCTGAAGCGGATCACACTGTAATGCAACAAGTTTTATAGCAATCCTCATTGAAAAAGGAGTTTGTTTTACTTTTTTCCCCATCTATTTTAGAATCACACACGCTCAGAAAATCATTGTATTTATACAGTTACATACCCCTCCCAGAGGAAAATGTAAATGTCCATCTCTTACCTTTCCTATCAAAAAGTAAACAAGAGACTCTTTGGGCACAATTTGTTTCAGTTCTTCAAGTTCTTGCAAAGCAGCCTAAAAAAAACATGCAATTAGTACACATTCAGAACAACTTACAAAATCTGCTTAGTTTAGAGTGCAAAATCTTACCTTGTATTTTTCATTCGCAAAAAGAATTGAAGCCCTGTGGAACTTGCATAGTGGATTTTTGGGGTCTATATTAATGGCTTTGTTTAGAGTTTCTAATGCATGGTCTGACTTCTTTAGTGCATGCTGCACCTAAAATCAAGTTGAAATAGAAAAAAATAATATAAAATTAATAAACCTTAATAGAGAATATAAACTTGAATTATACCAGCTGACCCACACAGTGGTTTGCATGAACCTCGTTTGGCAAACAAAAATCTATGCATCCAGCTCCTAAGAATAAACCAATTAAGATTAAAACTTTCAAAGAATGTACACTTTTTAAAAATATGTACTTACCACACCAATGTGGCACAGCAGAACAGAACTCTGTGGGTTGATACTGAGGGCTTTTTTGAAGTGAATTTCCGCCAGGCTGAATTTTTCCTGTTTGTAATAAATCATTCCCAAGCCATACCTGTGTGGTCAAAAAGTTTAAATTTAATTCTGAAGAAAGCTAGATTTTTCTCCCCCCCCAATTCATTTGCACACGTTCACAGCTGCAGACCATTCCAAGTAAATACACCCTTACCAAAAGACATAATTGACACAAAACACTTACCATGCATTATAATGCCTTGAATTCACACGGATGGCATTTCTGAAGCAAGCCAAGGCCTTTTCCAGTTCCTCCGTGAGTACAAACTCGTGCCCCAGTAGTGTGTAGGCATATGCAAAGCTGGGATCCACCTGGATTGCCCTCTGGAAGAATTTGATTGCGATGTCATGCTCCCTCTGCAAACTGAAGCAGTTGCCGGCGACGCACCAGGCCTAGGGAAAGAGATCACTTTATTGGCCATATACAATTTCTTGTATTAGGAATTTGTTTTTTTTCTGCATACCCCAGCTTGCTCTCCATGAGACACACAAACAGGGAGAGAGAAGCTGGGGGTCAGAGCGCAGGGTCAACCATTTATACGGCGCCCCTGGAGCAGTTGGGATTAAGGGCCTTGCGCAGAAGCCCAACTCCTCTGCCGGCCGCAGGATTCGAACCGGCAACCAGCCCAGCCACAGGTGCAGATCCTGAGCCACAGAGCCACTGCTCCGCCCCTCACTAGCGAAAGGAACTTCCACTAATCAACAAATCCACCCCACATTTGCAAAATGTGTCACTGCGCTAAGCTCAGAAAATACGATTTACAACACACTTACTTCAGAGCAAATCATACCTCATCAAAACAAATATGAACACTACAGTAAGGGTCTGGCCAAATTTGCCATTTCTTTTTATCCCGAGTACATCGCGAGACCTCCCGAATTACATTTTATTTAATGAATGGCACTACCATTTACATATTCTATAGAGGAATTGGGCATCATTACCTCTGGAGAGTTTTTGTCCATGTCTGTGAGATCTTTAGATAGGGCGGACAGAGCCACGTCCTTCTGAAGATGCCAAAGTGTTGTAGAATAAATCTCCATTCCCTCTACTCTGTAGCTTTCTATGCGCCGTACTTCAGAGAATATCCGCTCCGCCTGCCAATAAGACATATCATTGGGGAAAAAAAATCACAAAGGTTTTCGCAAAATGGATTCATTTTATGGATGACAATTCACAACTGGTTCATGGTTAAGCCCCCCTAAGGAAACACAAAGTAACGCTTTGATGTTTCAAAGGCCATTTACTTCAGTACGATGGAGTAGCAGTGAATAACCCCAGCCAGAAATGTCATTACTTAATCAAATCTGAAAATCAGAAGCAACTGAACAAATACATGCCCACCCTCATCTTACAACTGCTTCAAAGAAGAACATATTGTAGCTTACCTGCATGTACTCCGCCAGCTCAAAGTGTGCTCTCCCGATCTGACTGAGCACCCAGCCCGTGTTATAATGGTGGGAGGGCAGCTGACTCAGGATGTTGATTGCTTCTTTGCAGTTGTAGGAACAAAGTGCTAAGTAACCTTTTCCCATTTCACGCATGAGGTTCATCAAACCATCTGAAATGGGGTTTTACAGAATTAAACTACAGATCCGCAGCACAAAAGGTCTGGATTTCTACCCTATCAAAATAATTTCACAGACGTCTTTTGTCTTGTAACAACATTAATAATCTGAGTTATCTATTAAATATTTTACTGGGAGAAATTAATTCCATCTTTCACTTGAATCTTAGGGATGGCTCAATTAGGCATCATTTCCATTCAGCTCAAAAATAATTTCAATCCTTGTACAATACACTGGAAATAAAATGCATAGAAATGTTTTAGTAAAATAAGCTTCTGCTATTACGCCATATTAATTAAAAGAATAAAACGATCAAAAGGTGTTTGGATTAACATGCATTTTCTCAATTTTGTTCAAACATTTTAAATGTATTTTTGTACCACATAGTTTGTACTATTTGTCAATTGACTGATATATCACTGTAATCCTTGTGCCAGCACAGGATGAATACAAAGTTTTCAAACTTTGAACCCTGAAAGGACTCAATACAGCTTGAGCATCCAAACGAGGACCAGTTTAAGTGTGTATACTGTATATTGGCCAACCAATGGACACTCCTGACGATAAATCACATAGCCTTGGTTCAGGACAGTACTATTTTGACTATATGGCTCCCTCTGTACTGCTACTATACTGCTTGAACCCTTCAGGGGCTCATGTGGACTTGCCTGCAGATACAGATCTTACTGTTCTTTGTACTAAAATAAAAGCCAAGCTCATACCTACCTGCAGCAGCTTTTTGGATAGTGAAGGCTTGTAACTGAGGTGTAACTGCATTGCCTTTCCCCTCCGAAATGAGAGAAGAGTCTAACTTAAGAATGTCTATACTTTCGTTCAAGTTTGATGACGTTATCCCCCCTTTACTTGTTTTTGTCTTTGTTTTTCGATTTGGGATTTTGGTGGGGAACTTCATTTTCAACTTTTTACTGTTCTCCTGTTGAAGAAAATCATAACGGAACTTTAAGTTAAGACAACCCTTCAGTAGACCCATGCTTCTGAACATCAAACGAAGTTGAATGAACTACTCATAGCATTACTTGCACGAAATGAACCATTTAATGATAAAGCCTTTTTTGACAATACAACCTTAAGTTTACACCTTAAGCCACAAAACCTATTTGGCACTGACAAGCATTTTGCTCACATGATTAAACTGCTTACAGTTCTCACATGATACTTTGGAGGCATCAGTTAATAGTGTGGTTTTCCAGTTGCATTATAGGTTACCTTATGCAAGGAAGAAATTTCAATGATTTGAAGTTTTAAAATGCAGAGTTACAAGTCAGGGCAGATAGGGAAATTCAGTGGCTTCACCTTGGCAGTAGAGCTGGCACTGGTAAACAGTCTGGTGCTCCTCCTTGGCTGCACATTTGGAGGAGCAGCAATGGTTGGACTCAGCACTTGCGGTGTTGTACTTTAAGGGACAACAAAAAACAATCACACTTCTGTTATGCCCCTAAACTCTGGAACTCTCTCCCCAAGGATATCAGAGTCACCGTTTCTAAACTCCTTCAAATCCAGACTCAAAACCTTCTTCTTTAGAAGAGCCTTTACTTAACTAGTTCCATTCTTTACCCCTACTGTATTTAGTACCACCATCTACTGTCTCCTCTGCGTATTCTCATCGTGTTTATTTTCAGTATTTTTGTATTGAATTTTGTGTATTTTAATTGTTTATTTTTAATTGTTGTTGTTGCTGCTGTTGTCGTTCTGTAAAGCGCTTTGAGAAGCCACCTTTAAAGGCGCTATATAAAATAAAGTTTATTATTACTTCAACTGCATTACAAGTATCCGCACTTCAGATAGTCACAAAGGGGGTTACGACAAAAGAGAATATTAAAAAATGACAGTGGATTTATCAATAATTAGAAAATCATAACCCCAAATGTAAAGATCATGCCAAGACAATACCCAGGCAGCTGGTATGATTAGAGGCACCACAGTTCTTTCTTCTCCTGTACAGCTGTGGTAAAGAGAGTACTAGTCGGGTTCACTCTCTTAACAAGGTAACAAGGGAAACTGTAGTCCTGATTTCTCAGACTGATCTAGGTAACAAAATAAATTAATTGACGGTATTGCAAAATTGTACAAAATTCAAATTAAGAATCGTGAGCTTTGTGAAAGCTCCACGTTGTCACAGGCAGACGAGAAAGCACCAGCCACCACTGGCGAGAGTGAGTTTGCTCGAATTGTGAAGTAAAATGGCTCTTCCTGCTTAATCTAAAGAGAAACATGATCTTCTAACAACGTTAATCCTTTTTTGTCTTTCTAGGCTCATGATGTATTTTAAATGATGCCTCACTGCCGAGCACTTTTGGCTGTTCAGAACATAGTCGTTGCACACAAAACACAGGATTGGATCAGCAGAAAGTCAAACAGTCTCCTTTTCCAAGGAGATGGGTCATAAAAACGATGTTGGTCCCATCGACAAGTTTCTCGACAAGATTCTGGATGATGCACTGTTCACAACTCAATCATTTACCCAGAACCTAATTTACCAGTTGGTTCCTTTCATCTACTCAATTCCTTTCTGTATTTGAAGCTCCTCAGAACTACAAATGTGGATACTAGCCAGGTGATAATTGCCACTGGGACTTTAAGAGACTTCAATAGTCACTTCCAATAACCATTAAAATATGATTGTTTAATGTAGCATTAGCTAAGCGATTAGCTTTTTGCTTCCGTTTCTTTATTTGACAGGTCATTTGGTATATACTCATAATAATCAATAATCACTCACCAAAGACTAAATACAAAACATCTAAACCCCTTTCTTAATTTAAACATAAAAGCTCATTCCTCTGGCAAAGAGATGATGACAAAATAAAAGTTCTCAGTGCAGTGACCATGGCATTCGATGGATTCTGTGCGACACAGGTGATACATACCTCGTTTGTGGGGCTGAACTCTGCGTCTGGTTAAAAGGTATTGGGATAACCTCCCTGCTGTTCCCACTCTGTGCGAACACAGATTTTGTACTGGCTTGGCTAATTCGGGCCACAGACTGCATGAGAAGAGACAAGACACATAAACAGTTGTTAACAGGATAAATGTTCCACCTTTGAAATCAAGGTGTCTGTAAAATATTGCATTACCTTCTTTGGCGGCCCGCCAGTGGGTGGGTCCATTACAGAACTCGTATTTGTGAAGTTTTGTAAGTAGGAGGCATCTCCCGGACTCGGCTCAAGTGGTAAAATCCCAAAGCTGAAATCACAAGTGAGCTTCATTTCATTTTAAAGCCCACAGCTCAAAACGTAACAGTGGTTAGTACTAAGCACGAAATTTTGCTCCAGTTTGGATCAATCAGTAGGGATTACAGATAAGAAATGACACTTGTGATTTGGTCAAATCTGTCTCAGTAAATCAGTCATTCACAGCAGCGAGTAAAAAATAAGGTCCTAGTGGCACCTTACCAACTTGTGTTTTATGTTATTGTAACAAGGGTTGTAAACAAAATAACTAAAACTGATCACTTGCCTTAGTTAATGATTGGGAAGGTTACTACTTGTTGTGGAGATGTATGGTACAATCTTGCAAACTTTCAATGTCATGACAACCTTTTTGCAACAGCTTACCTTGCACATTTTTATGCAAGAATAACATAGTAAATAAAAGCCATCAGAAGACAAAGCCCCATTTTAAACACATTACCTGGGTGTTAGTGGGCTCAGAGCTGCAGGTCCACCTAATAAACTCCGTCCACTTTTTGGTTTGTTCTGTGGTTGTTTGGATATTAAAGAGCTACTAGTCCCAAGTGGCACAGAGTCAGGAGAAATCACTGAAGAATCAATATAGGGAGCTGTAGAATCTGTACTTAAAGACGTGTACTTGGAATTTGAAGATTCTAGATTCAGTCTATTTAGTTCCTTTAAAAAGAATACAGAAAAGTATTAAGCTTCCGTACGTAGAAAAAGAGAAATAAAACTGTAATTTGCAAACAAGATAAACTGGAGCAAACAAAAGAAAATCACATCAAAAGCCGCATTCCAAAAAGTGTTACACATTACAAGTACAAAATGATTGCAAATTTTAATAAAGTCTACCCACAATGAAATCATACATACTAAAGTATCCTGCGGTGTTTCCATCAGAACTGTGTCAACCTGTCTATGGGGTACAGTGTGAGTGGAGTTGTAAGTGGGACAGTTTTGCTGGCAACTACTAAAATTCTGAAGGGATGTCAGTTTAAACATTTGATCAGGGTCTGGCTTTTCACCTGCAAAAAAAGACAAAAGTAATTTAAGAAATACAGAGTGACGCTTAGCTCAGAAATATCGGTTTATTAAATTCTAGTCACACAGTTATCAAATTATCAAACAAGAGATACACATTAACCAGATAATGAATTCAGCGACTCACCAATTTGACACAGGGATTCAAAAGGAGACCACAGGAAAGGATTTAAACTTAGACTCTTTTGGTAGCATTCTGAACCTTTGGCCAAACGATCTGTTTTGCTATTTACAGAGGAGGAAAAACAAGGTTATTGAAAGCAATTAACTACACATATTAAAATTGCTTTATACCACCTTGAATTGAACCAGTCAAGCACTGACAGCATGTCATGTGCAAGTAGCTGTGAGATCTTTATTACAGCTTAAAATAAACTAAAGTAAACCAAACACTTGGACTGTTGCTAAAGTTTACATTGAAATGCTGAACGATGTTTTCCATAACACTAAATTTGACACTACAAAGTTTCCTGGACTTGCGTATTGCTTTTCCACTTATTTTGTAGTCATAGATCTTAGCTGTATTCCTGCAATGCAGATGCAATACCTATTTGTTCTGCTCAGATTATGAGGCAGCAGCTTGTACAGTTCACAATCAAACAGATTTATATGCTTCGAAAAACAGACAAGACTCTATGAAGCTGCAATTAAAAGGCATTAATTCTGAGCCCTAACTGAGACAAACAGCTGGATTCTCCATAGGATTTTCAGGTTGTAAACAAATTAAGAATGGAAAATAAATAAATACATCTTGAATTGGTGCAAAGCAGAGTTCTTTGACACCTCAAAGCAGCTCCAACTCTTGGGGTCTTGTAGGTCACCCCTTTCTAAAAACTGGGAACTCCTGTAAGTTATTGATCAATTAAGCAGTCTGTTCAATGAAAAGAACTCCAGCTCTTAAGAAGTCAGAGTTCTGAACGATATTGATATTTTACTCCCAGATGATATTTAAAATTGTAAAAAAAGATCACCTTCTTAATTGGTCATCATAAAATCATTCCATGCATTTCAAAATTAAGGACTTAAGAGTATCCTGCTGTACTGGACTCTCCAGATGCAGCATTAGAAACTGGTGCCATGAAGAGATTAATATTACTTCTCCCGAATTTCAACAAATGCGCAAGTAATGTACATTTTTTTAACCTTTAAAAAAAAAGAAACTTTCAAACAAATGCAGAAAGAATAAGCGTCCAAAGTCCTTTACCAGTAAATCTGTCCCAGTAAAGAGAGGGTAAAGCAAGCAGAATCTCCAAACTCTGTGACAATATCATCATGGCTCTTCTGTTTATTCAGGACTCCCCCAGTTAATATTTGTTCCCCCTCTGCAAGTCTAAGTTCAAAAAGATTTTTTTGGAAAGAAAAAAAAAAGAGGAAAATGTAAAACCAAAGGAAGAAACACCAAACAATCAGGACGAAGACTGTAAACGCTCAAGGCAGAAGAAACGAGGGCTTACAGTGACATGGCAGTTAGTGCCACTGTCTCCCAGCTGTTTAAATTAAAACTCAGTTTCAGACAGGGATTGTCTGTGGGAGTAGTCTGCGTGTTCTCCACCTGGGTATATTCCAGTTCATCCCCTTTTCTCACGCATTGCAATGTAAGATAACTAGGTTTCCTAATTGCTCCCATGCATTCTGTGACAGGATGAAGTCCCAGTCCAGGGTGTAGCCCTGCCTTGCACCCTGTGTTGCAAAGGTGCAACATATATTGAGGTGGCTGCTGCACACTGGCGGTGGTGGAGGCGAGCCCCTATTATCTTTAAAGCTCTTTGAGTGTCCAAAAAGGCGCTTATATAAATGTAAGAACATTTTTATTATTACCATGTTATTGGATAGGCTGCGAGTTGCTGTAAGCTTAAATAAGTACTTTGCTCATCCCGTTATACTGGATGGGGTAACTAAAATACTTTTACATTGCAAACTACTCTGATCTGTGCCTGCTTAAAAAAAGTATGTTATTCTATACAATACTTTTAGCGTTAATGAGAATTTGGACTTACAAAAACCCAACAGATAGCTCAGAACCGCCGGCCTTACCTGCTCAGGTCCACACAGCACTTTGCGAGAAGGTATTTGCACTGCGGGGTAGTGCAGCTATGCCCTTTAAGAAGGCGATAAGCCTTGTAGGCCTTGCCAGACCGGTAGTAACATGTGGCCAATAAGAAGAGAGCCTCTTCAGAATGCACTGTCCAAGCACATAAAAAAAACAAGCTTCAGCCCTAATGAAGAGCTTAGATTTCGAAAGCATAAAAACAAAACAAAACTGGCAACCAAACATTTCGTTATACTTTATCCCCCCCCGCAAACCACCCCAAATAGCTAAAAAAAGGATTCTTGTTAAAGACTATACATTTAAGACTATACAGAAAAGAGTATTAAAATGTAAAACAGGATTTCAAGACCACAAAATGTCTAGGTGTAATTGTTAAAAACATAGAAGTCAGCAAAACAGATCAGCACAAAGAATTCTACTGTTATTTTATTTCTAAAAATCAGGCATCTTAAAATATAGCTCACTTTACAATAATTTGGGGGCCATGATTAAAGATGTACAACTACACCACCTTTATTCAGGATACATGAGTCCCTAATAATTTTATTTCCCAGTCTGACTCCATCACTTCTGAGACATTATTGATTTATTACAACCAAGAAAAAGTCCCGAACAGCTGGGTGATCTCCTCACATCTATTTCATTACCTTCAGCATAGAGTCTCTCTGCCAGAAAGACAGCATCTCGGTAGGCATACTGGTTTAGTGCATGCCAAACAGCTGCCTAGGAATGAAATGAAAAATTCAGTACCATCTTGGCAGCAGAGGTCCTTATCTGCAGCACAAATATCATCAAGATCTGAAACGTGTTTAGTTAATTTACACATTTTGAAACAGGGAAGATTTAGCAAACTAAAAATCTTTTTTGAATTGGGTAACAAGATCAAACTTTTAAAAACCCATTCACATATTGTTGTATCAGGAATACTACTAATAAGATTGCATATTAAGAAATATTTACAAAATGTTTCTCAATAAAACCAAAAGTCATAATTACTAACTGCTGCTCGCATATAACCAAGCGGACTAAACATAGGTTAAGTTCAGTAAATGGCCAAGAGATTAACTGGATACAACCCAAATGGCAGTGTAATTAAAGTAAGGCAGTTTAAAAAGAACGTTATTGTCCTGTTAGCGGCATTTTTTATCTCAAAGAAACTTGACACATTTTGTGAAAAAGAAAACATTACTTAGAATAATATAATGACCAGTGCATTTAAGATCAAAAGCAGCAATAACTTCTTTATGCAAAGGTTTGTGGGAGTCTGGAACTCAGATACAACAGCTGAAGCTGATACTCTTTACTTCCCTCAGGAAACAGAGTGGATAACACTCTCACATTAGTTCTCCATTATACGCCACACAAGATAGATTGGCCGTGTTATGTTTTAACAGCTGAAGTTCAAGTGTAACCCAAAAGTGCTATTCATGGGCATTATAGTCACAGAAATGACACTTCATGCAGTCCCCAATCATATTACTCCCTGCGTTATATATAGTTCAAGCTGTCATAACCACATTCTCTTTCAAATATAGGTGGCTATGTACTTGTGTCAGTGATCATACACCAGTCTAGTTATGTCCATTACTTTCCATGTCACCCAACAGTTACCTCAGTTCAGCAGGTAAAACACTTCTCCAAACACCTGTACATATTCTACAAGCACGAGCATTACTGGTGCTATTAAGAGAAAAAGAGCACAGTTATTCCCAGTTATAACCCCTAACCCCAACAGCCTCACTTACTACGAAGGGGCGGGATTGGGGCATATCTTCAGATGAAAAACAATACCTGGATAGGCAGAAAGTCCCTTTGATATACTAAACCCACAGTTCTGCGACATTAGACCACAAAGCAATAAACCGAATTTGATTATAAACGACTGTTCATGAAGACGTTTGCACTGCAGACACGTTCAACGTATTGCTCTTGACATGCAACATTTCACCTTACAGGATCACCGCGCATCACCCTTCAGGTGTTTATTAAATGCGAAAAAATACCTTTTCAGGAGCAAAGAAATTGTTAAAAAACAGCAGTCAAAAACTTCGAAAGCTGTTGTGTCATTTTATCTACCTAGTTTTATTTGTCCACACACTCCGAGATAAACAGCCTTCGCTAACACCAAGTAACAATTTTCCGGTTTTATTTTTATTTAAAAAGACCTAAAAAAAAGCCTACCGATCAATATTCACTCAAATTCTACAATCAGTCGCTAAAGCAATGCACTGAAGCCAGAGGAAACAAAGATGCAGGTGTTCGACTTCAAAGGCATCTACGTTACAATGTTCCACATCTCACAATCGCAAACTTCAGTAGTTGAACCAAAGTCTTTCCAAAGCAGAGCAAAACCTCAAAAACGACCCTCACAGTGTCTGGTTACTCCACAGTGCCCCAATTTGAATGAATTCGCCATCTGATCAAATTGTTAATGACCCATCACAATTTATTAACCACTAGCACATCAGCCAAGTTACCTGTGTAAGGTCGCAAAATGCTACAGAACTACCTGCCGTATTTTAGAAAACAAAATACTACAGTAAACACCTCTTTCCCCTATAGGGCAAGATGCCACACCGGCGAATAATTAGGACTTTAAGACTAATACAATTTCAAGAGCAATAAACTGCAACAAAGCGTTTATAAAAGAATCGCACATCACCCGAAAATCTTGTTATAATTCTGATAAACCGGAATTCTGAATCAAACAAACGCATCGTTTTTGGCTTTGTAAAGCTTTTCAATCGCGTCTTTTTTAGCTTCCCAAAAGGAGAGTACGCGAGGCCTCCACTATTTGTTTTCAGGCCTCGGGCTCGGAGTAGAGCTCCCTACCGGCTGGCGAGAGCCGGACTCGGGTGGGCGCGTTCCCACCACAGGCCGCTCTCATTTTAACCAAGTAGCTGCGCCGCGTTTCTTTATTTTCCTCCGTTACCTGCACAGGTTCTTGTAGCACCGTCATTACGCGATCAAGCTCCTTCTCTCTGCCTTTAACTCGCTTCCCCCGTTCCGCAACCCCTCTTTCGCCTTTTGCTCAGTTTCAGGGCCCGAAGGAGCTCCGAGGATTTAAACACATCGACCGTTAGCGACCAAACCGAGACCCGCCGGAGATTGCCGATTAATGCGGAACAGGCACGAACAACGACGGACTGTGACGGAAATTGCCGATAGCTTCGCCAACAACCCGAAACGCAAGCGCAAGCTAGGAGTGTGAAATAACACTTCCATTCACAATTAATTACAGCGCGCAGTGATAATGGGTGGCTGCTTTCGTTCTCAATTACTTTCTCTCTCTTCCTGTCTTCATTATGAAAAATTAGGGTTTGGGACCTTCTGTATGGACTTCTCTCCAATTCATGCCTCTTTCAAAGTAAAACTGCCCTATACTCTGTCCAGTTTATTCACCTTTTTTTTAAGGCCCTTTTTAATGAGCCCCAGTGGCCTAATGGATAAGCTACTGGCCCGCCCTAACCCAGGGATTGTGGGTTTGAGTCCCATCTGGGATCGACTGGATGAAGCCACAGTGTGCAGAATAAACTTTTTAGCTTTCTGGATCTCTAAAAACCTTTTCCACATCAAAGGCCACCAGTTAAGACACGACAGATTGCATCTGAGTGGGATAGATGGTGGTCGTCTTGGCTCAATAACCCACTAAAAGCCTGACACTTAAACTTTACATGGGGAACAAAGACCAAAGGAAAAAAAACAAACGATTCTGTAATTAGGCTCTTATACCTAAAAGCTGGGAAACAAATGAAATAGGATGGAAGCTGGCACATTAGCAGGGAGTTATGATGTTACTGAAACTGATGGAGAGGAATGGGGCATAAGCGGATTCTTTTCTGGGAAGATCGGAAAGAAAAAAGGTACTACAACAAAACGCTGAGGCTCTGCTTAAAACTTGGCAGGAACAAAACAAAAGCAATGCAAGTCGAGACACAGAAATGAGGTCAAAGAACCAGAAAGGGACTACAGCCCTGTGTATCAAAAAGAGTATTCAGGTTGGGGAATTAAGGGTAGAGGAATTACTTCTTTGAATCTATAGGTGTGGTGTTAGCAGTGTGTTAGACACCACCACCAATTGCAGATGTAGATTTTTACTCAACACCGTATAATTAAATTAAAAATGTATATGCCACATAAGAAATTATTTTTATGGGTAACTGTAGGTCACAGTGGGAACAAAGGGCTGTTAGGGATGTCAGGAACAGGCTGAAATGGAAGACAAACAGTAGTTCATCACTGATGGCAAGACAGGTTATCAGAGTGCTTATAGGTGGAACTGCTTGAGCAGATCTTGTCTTTTCAAGTAGTCAGGAGAATGAGGACAACAAAGATGGGAGAACCTTTATGAGCTTTTGGCCATAATATGGTGCTGATGGATATTTTGAATCTGTACAGGTTGAGTATGGAGCAAAAGTGTCCAATTTCTGGACAGCAGGCTTTTGAAGGAATGAGATGCAGGGGAAGAGAAATAAAATAGGACAGGATAGGTATAAGGTCATTTGAAAAGGGATGGTTAGAGTTTAAACAGTCTGAAGAACAAATTTATCACAAGAGTGACTCAAACAAAAACTAAAAAAACAGCATCCGGAAGGGTTCAGAAAACAGTTAAGAAATAGCTATTTTTATTTTAGGGGGAAAAATAAAGCATATTACAACACATTTAAAACAACAGAAACAAAGACAATTGGTTTACATGCACAGGTGATAAAGTTATTAAAAAATGAAAATTTAAAACATATTACAATGGAGGCTAAAAGAAATAAAAAAAGGGTTCTTGTCATTCTACAACAGCAGAAGTACCATTAGGAATAAAGTAAAGCACATCTGGAATAAAAATGGGACACACTGAGCTAGAAGAAGCTACTTATGAGAAAAAGACCTACGTGATTATGTTGACATACTGTAAGTGGAATTCAAATGAGTGGAAGTTATGTTCAAAATGTTTAATGTACTACTAAGGTCTCTTACTAGAATATAGTGCACAATTGTGGTCACCACATTATAGAAAAGATACTGCTGCTCTAACGTCAGTCCAGAAAAAAACAACTACTGTAGGTACCGGAGCAGAGGGGTTTATGTCAGAATAAAGGGCACTTCAGATCTAATGTATGTATTAATATTAGTGCTTAGTTTAACTATTCAGAATCCTTAATGGTATTGCCACTGTCAACTCAGTGAATGTCTTCCACATGAACAGTGAAACATGAACCAGAGAGAGCAAGTGGAAGAGCGTTTAAATCCAAGAACAGGAGGTACCTCTTTACCCAAAGGGTGGTGGGAGTATGGACCAAGCTACCCAGCCAGGATGTTGAAGCCAATACCCTGGATTCTTTCAAGAAAAGACTGCACACGTTTGTAACCTTTCTTATGCCGAAGTATGGAACCTGGATCCCAGCCTCGATCAAATTCTAGTGCTCACCTCTGATTTAACTGTATCACTTTCCAGCCACACTCCTCTCAAATCCAAAGTTTAGATCACTGCGGACAATGCTCATGAACAATAGGATTTCTGTGGCAAATGCCACCGGGTTTGTTCCAGGCGACACGATGGCACAGCAGTTAACATGGTAACCTCACAGCACTGAGGCCCTGGGCCAATCCATCTGTGTGGAGTTTGTATGTTCTCCTTGTGTTTCTAAGGACATTACCTGTTGTCGTTTTGCACATTGCCTGTTGTCTCTGTTTTTCTTTTCTTATACAATTGTATTGTTGTTTTTTTTTGTACTGCTTACCATCTGAGAGCTAGCTAAATAGCATTTCATTATACCATATACCTGTATATGAGTATAATGACAATAAACTTGGATCCAAGAGGGACATCGTAGATATAGCTAAAGTTTAGAAGGAATTTACTGGTCTACAGAGATCTGCATCTTCAACTTGAACTTGGACTTGCTGGTAGATACTTTTGCCCTGGTGTGGCTGTGTATTTATGCCTGTGTGTACACTGTGATGGGATGGGGTCCTGTTGGGTGTTTGTGCCTGTTGTTTGCTGGGCTAGGCTTTGACATCCCCTGTGACCTTGTAATGGATAAAACAGAAATTGGATGGCTAAGATGTTGTCAAAAGCTTCAATAGAGCCTGAAGTTTTAAGTGTATAAAGCCACCAGGTGGAGCCACAACACCACTAATACAATATGTTACCCTTCTAGTTTTCCTGACTCTGTCCAAAACTCTCCTAAAGGAAAATTAAGTACCTAGATTTACACAGTCACACAACTAGTATGCTACAGCATGTTCAAACCAGGTGCTTGTAACTCAGTTTAAATTCATGGATCTCCCCTGTTGTAGTTTTCTTGCACTGCCATCCTGTGAACTTTACGATAAACTTCAAAATCTTGCTGTCTTTAAGGGCTTGAGCGGTTTGTCTCCTAAGTAAATCAGTGAACCGTTAGCTCCCTACACAACGTCACTTTTCTTTGCTCTTTGGTTTTACTTTTAGTTCCCCAAAACTGGATCCTAACCCTGGGTGACCCTGAGATAATGGGGAGATCATGTTTCCTGTACTGTTTTTCTCCAAGGCTGTGGGAATGATCCCTAAGCCCATGACTTAAAATTTACTTTCATACTGTACATCAGCTTTTGATTCCCTTAAATTTACTGTAGTCATTTGTGTTTAGTTGTTTCTAAGGTTTCTCCCTTCACCTTGATTGTTGTAAAGCATGAATCAGCATGAAGCATGAAGCATGATTCAGAACGTGAGTGGGGGTGCAATTAATAATTTTAAAAACACAAATAGTTTTTGTAAGAAAAGCACATTTCCTGGGTATTTTGTTAGAGACCCCAATGGCACTGTTTGCCCTAGACGCACCCAGTCTGAATTTCTACCCTCCATTTCTTCCATTCACATTCGAGACAGAGGTCATACTTAGTCTGACTTCATCGCGCCAGGGCGGATTCGGAAAAGGCTTGGATCTAATCCCTGTGCGGACTCGGATCCTCAAGGCAAAAGAAAAAAAAAAGGAGTTCTAAAAAATAAATCAGGGATAAGAGATTAGTGGATTGCTGAAGTGTAGTTAATTTGTTGCAGAGGGTGTTGCTGTACTCCAGAGCTTCCTCTGCACTGACAGGTATTAATGCAGGTGGATTATCTATCTTCTGCTGTTCCAAAGTGTCCTCATGGTACCCAGAACCTTACAGCAGGTGCTGTAGCTATTCCAAGGGAACAGGTACAAGGGATTGATTCTTTATTACAGGAATCAATATTATTATCTTTTATACTGAATGCTTTTGCTTTCTCCTAGGTCTCGGGAGGTCATTAAAAAATCACATTTTCTTTCCTCTGATTGTGGATTGATCTGAGCAAGAGATGGATTCAGAGACATTGGGTCTCGACCTTCGATAGTCATTTTAAGAATAAACAAATACATTTAGTAGATTGACAGAATCAGTGCAGCCCTATTGAGAAAACAGTTTTAATTGCAGTTTTGATTTGTTCACCCTAGTTGAAATATATAGGTGTAGGTAGGTAGGTGTAGTTGGTGGATTTATTCATGACTCATTTCTGTGATCTCAATAGGCTGTAATTTGTAGATGTCTAAGCAATTGTAAAAAGAAAAAAAAAGTATGGGAAATTAAGACAAGAGCTGGATGTGAGTTTCCAGATCTACCCACTTCAGTGTTGTGGTTTAGCATGTGCTTGGGAATGTGGAGTTGTGGTTAGAGTCTTGGATTTATGCCTGGAGTTCAAATCCTGGCTACGCAGTGAAACAAGGTCCTTTTCCAGATTTCTCCAACAAACCTGACCGCATAAATGTACTGTATAAGTCAACTTTGATCAGAATGGCAGCCAAGTAAATTGATCAAACAAGTCAATGGATGGATAATTATGCATTTTAAAATTGACAATGCTGTGCATTGCACAATTTTTAAAAAATAACGGGGAATTCATAGGTTCACTCATTAGCAAGTATTAGGCACCTCCAGGCAAATGAAAATATTCTCAGTGTCACACCATTACCCTCATGACAACCGCTGGTGTAGGCATTTCTGCCAGAGAAATAGGACATGACGGTGCTGCTCATGACAGGATCGTAATAATAATTTGGACAGGGTATTTAATAATTTGGCCAGTGTGTATCCTGAGAAGATTGACAGAACGTGGCAATCAAG